GAGAGAGAGAGAGAGAGAGAGAGAGAGAGAGAGAGAGAGAGAGAGAGAGAGAGAGAGAGAGATGTGTCTGTGAGCTAGTGCAGCCCTCTCTCTCTGTCATTGGCGGTGTGTTGTATCTGGTGTTGTGTGCTTGTGTGTGTGTGTGTGTGTGTGTGTGTGTGTGTGTGTGTGTGTGTGTGTGTGTGTGTGTGTGCGAGAGAGAGAGAGAGAGAGCCCTGAGTCCCACTCGTCGAAGCTGGCTCTTGGCTTGGAGCTTAGCAGACTCTCCATGTTCTGGCCTGCAAAGTTTGTTCGTAGATCTCCAGGCTTTGGGTTCCTCCTCCTCCTCCTCCTCCTCCTCCTCCTCCTCCTCATCCCCCTCCTCTTCTTCTTCTTCTTCTTCTTCTTCTTCTTCTTCTTCTTCTTCTTCTTCTTCTTCTTCTTCTTCTTCTTCTTCTGCTGCTGCTGCTGCTGCTTCGTTGGTGTCCTCCTCCTCCTCATCACTCATCGTTGTCAGTGTATTTGATGACGGCCAGGTCTTTTGCATTAGTGTGTGTCCAACTATTTGCTTTCTGTTTCAATCTTGTTTGCTTGTACTCACCTCCTTCATTTTCAATTCCTGCCTTGACACTGCCATCTTCTATGTTTGACTAATTGGTACTGATGTAAGCATGTGTAAGACTCCCGCTGTCCGTATTTTGGGCCCGTATTTTGGGCCCTTAATCTCATCACCATTCTCTTTTCAGCAATGCATCGTGTCTTTTCCTCCTCCAAGTTCCGGTTACGAGATGAATTCATAAATGTATGTCAATGACGTTGAGAGCACTCATTGTCCATTTCTGGGAATCAAGCAGATGTTTTTTTTCCCCATTATCTCGATATCTGGGTTCCTTATTGCTTGCAGTTGCCACTGTCTTTCTTCAAGTAGGTATATCTTTGTCGGCGGCTGATGGGTGCATTCAACTGCATTGACATCTGTCCGAATGAGTCATGCAAGGCCATCTTCGTTTTCCTATCCTTCAGGAATCACTCTCTCTCTCTCTCTCTCTCTCTCTCTCTCTCTCTCTCTCTCTCTCTCTCTCTCTCTCTCTCTCTCTCTCTCTCTCTCTCTCTCTCTCNCTCTCTCTCTCTCTCTCTCTCTCTCTCTCTCTCTCTCTCTCTCTCTCTCTCTCTCTCTCTCTCTCTCTCTCTCTCTCTCTCTCTCTCGTTCGTTGGTTCGTTGGTTCGTTGGTTTTGTGGGTGAAAACTAGGCTCCTATTCTGGGGAGCTCAGGAGTTACTATCATCCCAACCTATTTCGCCTTTCTTTCCACAATTTGACGGAAGTCATGTGGTGACCGGTTCTTTTCAGTACACAAGATAGGGAATGAGAATGCATGAGTTTGACCCCTGCTGTGTGGCTGGATGGTACACTCGTGTAGCTGTTGACAAATAGTTCCTGAGTTTGAGCTCTGATGGAGACAGTTATGTTAGGGGTTATCCCCCTTTACAAGAAGAAGAAGAAGAAAACGAAACAAGGAGGAGGAGGAGAACAGGAATGAGGAGGACAAGGAGGAGACGAAGGAGGAGGACGAGGGGGGAAAGGAAGAAGAGTGCACGAGTTAGGAAGACAGGAGCTGCTGTGTCTATTATGGGTGAAACTCATATATGAAAATAAATGAGCTGCCAAGACATATATAATCATATAATGCCTACATTTTACTATTTTTTGTTGCGGTCTTGCAAATAATGTAGACAATCCGATAGACGAGCATGCCCAAATGCCTTTGTGAAAAGCCATGTCGATTCCTATTTAGCAAGGAGGCCCTGCAGTACTATATAGAATCATTATAGATATGTTTGTTGACTATAGGCCATGCTATCTACAGTAATGCCTATAGGCTATAGGGTCCATTGTCTTGCAGGAAGGCCGTACCCGATTGCAGATAGCAGCACCACCTCTAGTCAGTCAGTACTATCTTGCATGGGAACACCTTTAGCAAGTGATATAGCAGGGCCTGTAGGCCCTCGCCACTAGCTATAGGTGATAGGTATTGTGTTGACATGGTCTCACTGCGGTAAATGATTAAACGCCAGGATCTCTTCATTGACTTGCCGGGGGAATAGGAACCGGACTGTTGCTCCCCAGAATGGCAGGAGCCAGAACCAAGAGGTTCTGATAAATAATAATAATAATAATAATAATAATAATAATAATAATAATAATAAACGCCAGGATCTCACTTCCCGTTTTCCATGTGTTTTTATAACAGGTTGTAAGTGAAAGTGAGCGAGTTCGAATGCAGAAGTTAGAGGAGCTGAACAGACATCTGGAGCAGATGGGAAGGTAGAGTGCAGACATCTTGATGCAGTGCATGAAGAATTATTTTTCGCTGAACGTTTCCAGGTTGGGCGACCAGGTTCAGATGTAGTTGAGCGAGCTGAGCAGACATCTGCGGCGAATTGGAAAGCAGAAGTCGGACAATTTGAATGCAGGGACTGCAATGCGGGAAATATCTGAAGAATGATTGTGCGCCGAGCATTGGATGGAGCAAATTGGAAAGGAGAGTGCCAACACTGCGAGGCAGTATGCGAAGAGAGTTATTTGACTTATTTTGCTGTGAACCAACATCAGAATTGAGCAAAATGATCGCAAAGCAGGACGCTGACATCTGCAGGCAATGTCCAGAGAGTTATTTTGTGCCAAATGTTTCTGAGTTGGGGGGGGAAGAGAATCAAAGACAGCGCGGTACTGCAAGGACACTGCTGTTTGTGCAGAGCCGCCGCAGTCCTGGCACAGTTGAAATCAGTCTGCTGTCTCTGCAAAGTACGGCTATGCTCGACAGTTTTCCTCTTGTCAGACTTCCATCTCATGGTGCAACAACAGGACAAGTCTGATAAGCTTTAGGCGCACGCGACATTGAAGAATCATCCGACGTCTTGAACTGATCATCATGAGCCACAGACAATTTTTTGATGGGTTTTTTCCCAAACTTTTTCTCCTCTAACAGGCCACATCGAAGAATAATTCCACGTCTTAGCACTGATTGTCTTGCACCACTTTTTAGCAAAACTTGACGAAGATGTTTTTTTTCCCCCTTCAGGCTCGTAGTATGCAAGTTGCGCACCGGATAGAGTCAAGGTGGTGTGTCACCAACGTCTTCCATTTGGCATTTCTTAAACCACCGCTACCTCTTCTGAGCGTCGTTTTGCTCAGGCAGGAAAAAAAGAAAGTGTGCGGCACTGTGCGCCAAGCTTTGCCGAAGTGCCAGCTCCGCCATTGTGGTCTGGTAGCACTGTTCATCCAAAGAAGCCAGAATGCTACACTCACTTTCTGCCTGGGAAAGGTAGTACGTACTGGTTTAAGAAGAAAAGCCGTGCGGAGCCAATGCTCAGAGTATACAAGTTGCATGCATGTCCAATGGAGCAAAAGATGATGTGTCGCGAAGCGACTATTTTCTTCCCCCTGTCATTCATGCTGTAAAGGAAATGTCATGTGGAGGCAAAGCTCAAAAGTACACAAGTTGCGTGCCGGATGCAGCCAAGGCGAATGTTCCACCAACTTCTTGCATTTGAGGTTCATAAGGGAAATGTCCAGTGTGCAGAATGAGCTTGCATTCTTCATGGAGCAGCAGTGCAGGTAACCATCCAGTACAAGAGAAGCAGTGTCGATGGCAGTGTCTATACATCCGGGAGGTAGTTGAGTACTCCTCTTCGACACAGCTTACGGAATCTTTCTCCTGCCTAATACAGTGTCTATACAACAACTGCATGCGAGTAGGTAAACGGGCCGCCGTATTCATCAGGGCCACATTCATGATCAATAGTCTGAGGCTGCCTTGACATGCACCGGAGTGCACGCTGTTCTGTTGCTCTCACTTTTTTTTTTTTTTTTTTTTTTTTAACAGAAGACACGCAAGCTAGTGCTAGGGGTGCTGATGAGAGCAGGCATGACTAGCATTCCCGGGGGGGCTCCATCTATTGGTGGTGAGCAGCACCTGCTGGAAATCGGGTCCAGCGTCCCTGTACATTATAGTTGATTGTTTGAACAGACATTTAAGTGATATGACAGCAAGCTGTAGGGCTTTCCAACAGAACAAAGAGCTTGACAAATAGACCTACCCTGCTGCCTAAGATGCTTGCCTACATGACCGCATAATGAAAGTGATAGTACCCACAGGGCCCATGGCTATTACTGGGAAATCTGAATACAGATACTAAAATGTGAGCTTCTTCTCTCAGGAAGTGACTCTCTGTTGTCTCAGTCTTAGAGGCTGGTGCTATCTCTTTCTGATTGGATCCCAGTTTATGTAGGCAAAACAATCCTCCCGTTCCCCTACCTCCACCCTTTTGTTATGCAGACAGTTACGTAATTGTTGCAAGCAATATCAGACTTGCTCTGCCCTGTACACTCAACTACACGTTCCTTTAGGGACTTTGCTGTCTTTCGGCTTTCAGCTGTTGGGGGGTCATGTTGCACGCTCAGAGCACTATAAGTTGGCCTCCCTTTTACTTTTCACCATTGGCCTTATCCCTCAGTGGTTGTTGATGTAGGTGCTGGGTGTGTATGAGGGCCTTGCTATGCTGTGGCTGCTTTGTCATGTTCCCTTGCCTGAGCTCGCTTCGTCTTCCTGGCGTGTTGCAAAACTGTCCTCCATGGCTCCGCCTGTTCCCAGTCTTCCCAGTCCCCATCCTAGTAGCTCGCCCTCCATGGCTCCGCCTTTTCCCAGTCTTTCCAGTCCCCGTCCTAGAAGCTCCCACCTGAGGTGCATGTCCTTATGTGGGAGGGAATCTCCGACTTGACGCCGGTGTTGGGGCGGGGAAGATAGCAGGCATTTGTATCTGTTCGGGGGGGGGGGGGGGGGGGGGGGGGGGAGGGGTGTGGCTGGGGAGGGGATTGCTGGAGGGGATTGCTGGAGGGGCCGGTTTCTGATCCGGGACCACCACAAAGTTAGTCTGAAGGTTATGGGACCTGAAAGTCTTCCAGAGGTCTGCTTTGCCAGGTGGGCTCTGTGGTTCTCCATGGTTTCCACTGTATGTTAAGCCCATCCACCAGTTCAGAGAAGATCCTTTGGGGGTCCTGCCAAATCTGGTGATGGGATTCTTGAAGGGCTTCTCTGACCGTAGGGTCTTTTTCTTCAAGGTAGTCACATTTCATTGACTTCCAGGCTTTGTATGTACGGACCTAATCTCTTCTTGTATCGCCTGTTGCGCTTGCTGCAGCCCGAATTGAGGGTCCTTTTTTCTCGAAAGAACATGTAGCTCTCCAGGCCAGCATGAGGACTGTAAGTGAAGAGATTAACGGCAAAAAGGGACCATTGTGTCATCAAGTGCTGGTTTTAACCGAGCAAGAGGAGGCCCAGATCCCACGGGATATGGATGCCAGCGAGGGCCTGGAATGCTGCATTCCACCACCTCCATAACTGGGTAACCATTGGGCAGGCCAGCAGGCAATGTTCTAGAGTTGCACTGGCCGGCTGCGTGGCTCTACCGCAGTAGGCACAGACGGGAGACAATATACTTTTCTGCTCGAGGTTTGTTTTTGATACGATACAGTTGGGGATGGGGAGGCAGCGATGCAAGATTTGCCATTGCAGCGACCTGACATGTGTGGCGATGACAGAAACTCTTCATTGGCAAAGGAAGGTAAGAACCACTCCCGGCAGTAGTTGCTGTAGGTGAGGGGACAGAACCCTCCCATACCACAACTACGTTCCAGAGAGGAAGCATTCACAAAATGTAAGGGTATGCCCCACCTGCTACGCCGTCATGATTGAGCCCTTGTTCAAATGGCTTTCATCCTTGCCTCCCACGGGAACAAAACTAGCCCCAGTCTCGGCACGAAAACAAAAAAAAAGTGCAAAGAGCTTACCATGATTGGGACCTGGAAAACAAAAACAAAAAACAGAAAAAGAAAAACTTCCCAATGGGAGATCAAAGCAAACCTTCACTTTCCTGCGATTCATTCGCGAAAACAAATCCTGGTCGATTTCCAGCCAAATCGACAATGCCTGACAGTCACACACCATAAATACTAACCCGAACATATGGCTACCTTCTTTCGAAGCTCGGTTATGGCAGCCTGGTGCTGGGACTTCGTGATTGCGTGTGTGATCACTTGGTTTTCTTTCTACTTCCTTTCTACTTCCTTACCTTCTTCCCCCGAATACAACGTACAGTAATTATAGCTGTATTTGGGGGAAGAAGGTAGTGGAATTCCCACCCGATGTCTGAGTGGCGTATGAGTAGAAGGATTGAGATCCTTGATGCTGTCGGGATCAAGGAGTTGTGTGGAGGAAGGTGATTACGCCATGATATTAAACTCATGTCATCTTTTTCTTGTTCTTAACTTCTTATTCCATTGTGTATTATCTCACTAATCGGAACATGTGGCTAGTGGAGTTTCCCTCCCGATATCCGCGTTTCCTGGAAGATTGTTGTTAGGGCCCAATCATGAAATGTGGTCAGGGTGCAAAAATCAGATAGGGGAGGCCCTAAGGAGGCCAGCTTGTAGTACAAAAAGGACAGTGAGTGCCGTAGTATTGACACCTCCCCCACGTCCCAAAACACATACCAAAGCAACGCTCTATATCGGGACTCGTTCGGGCCCGTGGAAACATCAATGAGGGAGGAACCTAACGAATGAAGCACTAAGTGTAAAAGAAAAAGCGAGAGATGCGGGGGAGGAGGGAAAAAGGTAAAGAGGACTTTCTTGCAACCCTCTAGCACTCTCTCGTGGTTGACAAAAAAGTAAGCAATAAGGAAAAAAAGTTTGCACTCTACTTGAGTATAAGGATGTGGGCTATAGAAAAGGTTAACCGACCCCCCATTTTTCACCTCAATTTATAAGAAAACCATAAGGCCATCCCAAGCAAACTTCACACCAATCTATAGAGTGCACTTCTTACTAACATATTATTAAAAAAAAAAAAAAAAAAAAAAAAACACATCAAACAGTTCTAAAACAAAAACGGGCAAAAAACAAAATTCCAAAAAAACACAAAATTTGACTCCGAAACCCTAATTTCAGGATCATTCATCGAATCATCGTTACCCAGGGCCGAAAAGTGGGGGTCCCCGTTAACCACTTGTGGAGGGCTAGTATGAAAACATGCTTTTCAAGTTTAAGACAAGGCTGACTGTCGCAAACGGCTCCGCAGGGTCCTGAAATTGGTCAGAATGGCCCTCATAGCAGTAGAAAGAGGTCCAGTCCATATTTGGATAGAGAAAATTGTTGCGGTCGTGTCAGGACCGAACCAAAAAAAAAAAAGGGGGTTAAATGAGCATGGGAATCAGTCTTTGGGCCGTAACTTTTGGCATAATTTCAAATGGTCGAGAGTTGTTTTAGTAGGTCTTAGAATGTGTTTGACAAGGCCCTGGGATGCTAGGACTTGGATCAAGGGGAAATGAGCTCACAAGGCTTGAAAAGGTCAACTCAAGCCCTACTCATGTACACAATTCAAAAAGGCAAAGATTTCCTCAAAGTCGACCACAGCCAAGTAACATATAAAGCAGTAAGGAACAAAACCGTGAAGTGGAAAAGTTTTGAAAAGTCAGGGCAGCAAGACAATAAAGCGTAAGGCAAGGCACATGTCAACGAAAGCAGCAAAGCAGCAATATAAGCAATAAACAGTATGAAGCTAAACTAGAACATGCATAGATGGAGCAGCCTGACAGATAAGCCCTCAATTCTGACGGTTCTCTTACCACCGCCAGGATAGAGGGATATCGCAAGGGCTCTTGAAAAAAAAAAAAAAAAAAGAAGAAGAAGAAGAAGAAGAAGAAGAAGAACATGCATAAAGATGACTAGGTAAGAAAATCAATATTAAATAATAGTATAAGCAGACACTAAAGAGAACACCTAAGAAGTTACAAAATGAGTGAGGCGTAATGCATGGAAACAGCAAGGCAAGCACCAAAACAACAATATGACCTGTAGGCAACAGCATGAGCCAAGATGCATTTTGACACCATACTACCAGGTTTACCCTGTACCTGTCAGCTGCTGTATCTTTTTATTTGTTAGGTGTTTACACTTAAAAGCTATGCAACCAGCCGGGCCAACCGGGTCACCCTGTTTTCCCGGGCGGCCCGGACGTGCAAGGACCAGGGAAGTCCCAGCCAAAACAAAGAAATCCAAAAAATCCAAAACAAAACTATGTTATGCAGAAAAATAAACTGAACAACTTTTGCCTCAGGGTCACATTGAAATTATTTACCACATTTAAAATAGAAAACACAGCTAAAAACTATTTTTTATTTTTTTATTTTATTTTGGCCCAGTTGGGCAAGTGGTCCGGGCCTCTCTGGTAGCCTAGCTTAAAAGACGGAAAATCAGATTTTTCGCTTGTTTTTGAAACTAAGCAAAACTTTTTTTTTTCGCTGGCTTGTATAAAACACCTAATTCTTCATTCAGTTCACTTGCAATGTCATAGGCTTGTCAATGACAGTAGACGGCGAAAATCATTATGGAGAGCTTTCATACGATTAAACACTTTAAGAGTTTCGGTCCATTAAAAACGAAGGAAATCTCGATTCTTGGAACTCTGCATCGTATCCTCACCAACTCTACTAGCCAGACTGAGGCGGTAGAGGTGGTCAAGTGTTTTTTTATTGAAGCTACACAGTTGGGGTATCCAATAGAAGTATTAAGGCGGGCAGTGGGTGCAATTCGAAGGACAAAAATGAAGAAAAAAGCAGCGGCGAAGCTGTTGCACTGGCTATATTGTGAGGGTGCGGCAATAAGAAAAAAAAAAAGGAAGAGAACTATTGCTTGAGTCAGGCACTCCCTACATTGGGAGAGGAGACCAGGCCCTGGGGCACGACTGTCACTGATTTCAGTGATTCACGGAGCAGACATCACAGACCCAACAACCGGTCGCTATACTGACTATAACCGCTTCTCGGCTGAAAAAAGAGCCGGGACTCCGTACAGAGTGCAGCAAACCGCTACATTGGAAAAAGTGAGTCTCTACAAATAATTTAAAACGGGAATTAGTGAAAGAAAGAAATGACGAACTGAAACTGTTTATTCGGTGCATATTCAAGGACACGAGGATGCATGTTTCCTGGGATAGTGGGCTGTGAGGTTGAGCCTACATTGGGACACGGGATCAAGCACCAAGACACGACTGTCACAGATTCCGGAGATTCACGGAGCTGACAACCCAACGGTGGAACCGGTCGCTATACTGACTGTAACCGCTTCGAACATTGGCTGGCTGGATGACGAAAAGAGCCAGGACTCCGTACAAGTGCAGCGAATCGACATATCGGCGAATCGGGCCAGAAAAAGTGAGTAACTACAAATAATTTAGACAGAAATCAGTGAAAGATGCAGTGGATCGACGA